ACTAACAAACCTTTTAGATGCTCCGAGTCGGACTGTGTCACAGTCCAATATGATAAAAACGTTTGTATCCTTAAAGGGATGGTTTTATGTAAAATCCACTTTTTACATCATGTTCCAATGTAATTCCTTTATCAAAACCATAACTGGAGTGTTCCCTGGATTCTTTCATGCTTGTTTGAGTAATCCTTTAATCTCCATGGCAACCATTCAGCTGTGCAAAACGCCTGGGTGGACGTAGCTGCAGTTTCCAAGCTTCTAAGCTCTGCCTCACAAAGCATACCTCCCCCGCGACTCCCCCTCTCAGCTCCTTCAGACTAGCCAGGAGCAATTAGTAAACAACTGGTGAACCTCCACATTTGCTGAGTTCAGCATAAGAGCTTTTTCTCAGTGCAACACTGGTAGAAACACTATCAAAAGGTTTGTAGAGTGGCCATGGTTTGATGACTTCCTGCAGGTGGAGTTTCATAATAAGCAGGAGTTTTTAAAGATACAGAGGCTCAATTTCAAGGCGTTTCAATTTTATAGTCAAATTTCTTTTAAGTCATATTTAATATAGCAGTAGTTATTTGATTGTCCTATAAAGATGCCTAATCCTGCCCCTTTAAGCCATATTTTTTATGTCTGCTGTGAAATTTTAAAAAGTTCAGGAGTAATTACCATTGTAAAAAGGTTTAACAGCTTTAGTGCTCATCACAAAAACAACAACCACAAAGCAGTGCATGATTGGGAAGCAGGAAAAAGATATGGATTTCAAAATTTTCTTCATTGTAAGATACATTTCGCTCAATGAGATTGGATGGAGAACATCTGTAAACATTTATTTATTTTCTGGTCTGCCAACAGATTCGCCATTTGGTTTAGCTCTTGAATGTAACTGCACCATTATAACAGAGGAGCATACAGGGAACAGCTGCATTTATACTGAGACTTAATAACACACCAGTGGACTTTTCTGACTAACTAGAGGACTTTTCAACATAGCAGGGTTTAGCCTCACTGACCCTTCTGTGTTCAGTGAACGTTGGCTGGATGTCCGCCAGACATTTCATGGTGTTTCACTGAGTTTCTTGGCGAACGTTGTCTGTAAACGTTGACTGAACATTCATGGCTACGCTCAGGGAACACCGTCTGAACACTAGCTGGGTAACAAAATGAGGGGCCAATACAAATGGCCACCACCAGGTGTTTTTTTTGTTTTGTTTTGTTTTGTTTTGTTTTTAATGAAAAGCTGTCAAATTTTTTTCTATAGCAACAAGAAAGTTAAAAGTGCTTTACACCATAAAAAACCTAATACAGTGACCAATTAAACATTATATTTTGTCAGATGCAAAATCATCAAGCAAATATACCTCAAATATCCAGATCAAAGGTCCAGTTCTAAACGGGGTGTGGTTTTAGCCTTGATTTAATTGAACTCAGTGTTTCAGCAGTTTAGCAGTTTTTCTGGAAGTTTGTTACAGATTAGAGGGACCTAAAAACTGAATGCTGCTCCTCCATGTTTGGTTCTGAGTCAAGGGAGCTATGCAATATTTGTTCCACTTCACAATTATGCTCTCCTTTGTGTTGGACCACCACATAAAGTTTAAAGTAAATACATTCTTACAATTTGTACTTGTACTGTTGCTAAATATGCATCAATTCATGGGATAAAAATACCTTTAAAATGCTTTGTGATAAAGTAAAGGTGTGCCCAATTTGGAAGAAGCAGCAGTGCAGTCATTCTCTACTTAAAACTGAAAAGTACTGTTCACTGTTAGATTTACATGAACCCTGGTGGTTGTTTGGAGCATTGTTTGGGTTTAACTAGTAAATATGCACACAGAGCATCTTTATCTAGTAGGAACTGCCACCTTTGTATCTAAAAATACTATCATCACTGACACAAGTCTGCCAAATATCTGCATCATCTTGCAGCTTTCTTTAATAAACTGTCCACTTCTGTTAGCCGAAAGGAGGAACAGGGAAGAATATTGAAGGGCATGTACTGTTTTTTTTTTTTTTACATGTGAACTGTGCGTGCATGACTGGGCAGGCCATCTGCTCCCTTCTCAAGCAACGAGCTTTTATCTGTTCACATGAAAGAAATTGTACTGACCCATGACCACCAGGGATGTAAATATCAACGTACAGTCATTCATTATTCATCCAATCATTTCATATGTATTGATTGATTAACCCTTTAATGATGTATTTGAAAACACACTGTGGGATTTCACTATCACTATAGTGCAGATGATATAAAAAAGAGCATCCCAGTTGTTCAGGATCTACTGGGTCTGTCTCAGGGGAGCTCAGAAGTCTCAACTCAAAAGGAGTTGATACATTTTTCTAGTGTTGTGTGGCCTCCAGAAGACCAGAGCAGAAACTATTTCCTTTGTTCCTTGTTGTTTTCATGCCAGCTCTACTGCAGTTTGGTTCACTTCTGGCTGCAGTGTGAACGTAGCTTTAGTACTGTGTGAGTTTTACTGTTTTTCGTAAAGGCAATACAACACACTGCTTAACCCCCCCACCCCCGCCCCCCAAAATATTTCAGAAGGGCACTTTTAGTCTGGAGTTAAAACGGCCTGTGCTCTAGCACCACCTAGTGTCTATCTGTGCACATCCCTGTTCTTACCTACCTATTTCAATGACATACATTGAAGTTTGCAGGTTTAATGTGAGAGAATGTGAAAATATTTAAGGAGTGTGAATATTTTTGCAAAACAATTTCTTTTTTTTTCCTTCTTCTTCTTCCACATGTCAGCTAAAGTGTAACTTGTATCTGTCACCAGCTCGCTCCCTCTGAGCCACAGGCACGTCAGGTCTCCGGTGCTGCTGCTGTGGGGAGAGCGGGACGCATTCCTGGAGCAGGAGATGGCCGAGGCCTGCCGCCTCTACATCAGGAATCACTTCCGTCTCAACATCATATCCGGGGCCAGCCACTGGCTGCAGCAGGACCAGCCCGACATTGTCAACACCCTCATATGGACCTTCCTGAAGGAGGGAGAGGGACGCAAAAGCTACAGGAACTAAACCCGCACAGCCCTCGCATCCCACCCCTCTCCCCTCAACACCTTGCACCGTCCCCACTCTCCCGGAAGCCTTAAATATGCCTGTGATACCAAGCAACATAGTGATGATGCAATCATTCTTTAAATTTTTTCACATTTTAGATATATTTTTTAAAAAAAGAAGTCAGCGAAGAAGGAGAGAATCAAAGCACACCTCTCACTCAAGAGGAAAGGACACATGTTTTAAGATATTTTTTTGCACATGACAGCGACATATCCGCCTTAAAGTTTTGTCGGTTTCAGCATTACAAATGTGTGGCGAAATCTTTTTATGTATTTATTACATTTATTTCTCTTTGTGACCTGTATTGTGTGGTGCCTTTTAACTTTGGAGCTGTCGCGGTGTGAAGACGTCCCGGGGCGTCGGGGCGTGTCGTTGTCCACTGTTCTCGTGTCGCTCAGCTGTATTTCGGGCACAGTTCCCAGGGAGTCCCCCACCTCCCAGGGCTTTGTTTATCAGGTAGTGTTTGTCAAAATGGAGGTTTCTTTTTTAGTCATTTTTTTCTCTCCTCCCTCGGATATCTGCTCAAATATAGAGAATGTTAACTTGATCTTCCTGTAGAGAAATGTTAAGTGACGGTTGCCTATTGTACTATTTTGTATCTCTTCCTACACACTGCATTTTGAAACTCACTGAGCCAGGTCGATACTGTTTGATTTTCTAAATAAACTGAATAAGTGTCTGTCAGACTGCAATGCTTCTTCGCATTTTCAGCCTATTTTTGGGTGACTATTGTCGTCGGGTGTTTGAAGCTATAAACAGAATCTCATGCTGTTTTTGTGCTTGTAGCTGTCTCACCAGCAGTCACCGTAAGCTTTTACACAGAGGAGATGGGGGAAAAAAAGAGCAGAGGAGGCGTTACTAAATTTATCAGTCGAGTGACGCAGCAGTTTAAAGCTTTTTCTGTAGAACAAACGTCTGGATAGTTGATATTTATAACTTTGCTCTGTGGCAAAGAAAAATGCTGATGTAGAGTCACATTCGTTTCACATAAACGGCTTTCAGAGGGGTGTCAGCACAGTCACACTGTTCACCTGAAGAAGTAGATTGGGCCGCGTTTCAATTAAAAGAACTAAACCGTAAATTTCTATTTTTATTTTATGTTGCTGAATTACACACCTGCACTATTGTTTGAAATTAATAAACATTTTTTCCCCTTTGAAAGAATTGTTTTTGTCCTAATGAATTCATATTTAACCCCAGCTGATCTCTGCAATAACAACAAAACAGATGTTTGAATCCTTGCTAATTTACCGTACATATTAAAAGTGGCGTTGCCAACCTAGTAGGACAAGAGAAACAATTGCAGGAAGAGACGATGACGTCATGTGCATGCATGGGACCCTTCAGGAACGCTCAGGAAATCTTGAAACAGGCGTGCAGAAGTAAAGGTTATTTTTATAGTCCGCATTTAACAAATAAATAACAAATGTTTTGTTTTCAGGAGGGAAATAAGAATGGTTAAATTGATATATACAAATAGACTAATACTGTATTTGTCCCTTTTTGCTGAAATAGGTGTAGGTGCAGCAATTTTCGGAGAAATAGAAACACACCAGATACACGTTTTAAAAACAATCTGAATAAAACAGTTGAAAACTATACAGCTGTGAAAGTAAAAGATGATACGTTTTCCTTTCTAATTTTCTACAAACGGTAAGAACTCGATTCAATATACCCAATCCAAACATCTCATTCTACTTTTATTTGTATTTTTTTACCTTAAAAAGAAAGCTAGATGGGATTTCTGTTTTGTAATCTCAGTGCCCTTTGTATTGTTTATATTCATGCATAACCATTTGGATGCAGAAAACTTCAAAACTGAATCAAATCTATCTCTCATATTATGAGAGATAACGTGCCGTGAATGCTACCAACAAGCTATTGAGAAGCGACAGTCCACGTGCTTGCACTGCGCATGTCAGAATGCTTCCTGGTTCGTCCGCTCCTTGGTTATTTGTCAAACTGTGTGCCGTGGGCGGGGAGCAGCGTGCAGTAGTGATGTCAACAACATCGGTCAGTGGGTCAGCACCCTTGTAATGTCGCTACGTGAATATATACAAATGCTGCCAAACGGAAAAAACACGGAATATTATTTGTACTGGTCTGTTTTTGTCACGAGCCATTCGAAGTTCACGTTTAATCACATACACCGTTATCGGTAGCCAGTCTTAGCTAGCGCTAGTATGCTAGCTTTGAAAGGAAGATAAGAGATGTCCAGTGTATTTGGTGAAGCACAGAAGGAAGGTAACGGAGACAGAACAGGCACACTCTGACAGCTCAGGTATGTTTCCGGTATCTTTATATGGTTTTGTTGGTTTTAATTTGTACACGGTTAAAGAACTGCTGGGCTTTTAACTCCCCCCATTTCTTTTATTTATTAACTAAGCGCTTTATATTTTTAAATAATCTACGCCCTTATTTACGTTATGAATGTGCGGTGAAAATGATCTTGTTATGGTTGTCAAATAATTTTGATTTTTGTAGCCGCTACCTCTTGTTACCACTAACTTGCGAAACAGCGCCTCTTCGGTCAGTTCGGCGAAAAACGGTATTGCTACGAATACAACCTGCAGAAATATCCATATTATACACAGAGACATGATTACATCTGCAGTCAGTAAGATAATATAGTATGGTTTATGAGTGAATATGTTTTTCTCCCAACTGTTTAAATTATCATGCCATTATTTGCTTGATTCTCTTCTCAAATCACAAGGTAATCTGTCTTATATGTTTATCTTTTAGAGAATTTCTTGAGCCATGATCAACACTGAAGCTGCAAGAGAATTCCAGGCCAAAGAGCGCAAATACAAAGAGCAGCTGAGGAGATGTTTATCATCTGCTTTGTCTGCAGACCTCAACAGGTAATATTTACCTATAATTGCACAGGCATTGAAAAAAAATCACATATTGTTTGTCTCACACTTCACAATTATTCCACTTCTTTGTTTTGGCTGATCAGAACTCCAGATAAAATACACAGAAATTCTTGTGGTTGAGTATACTTAACTTTTTTAAAAATTATATTGCAAAATATATTTTAAAATTATATTTTGAATAATATAATTGTGAGAAAAATGTGAAAATGTTAAAGAGGGATAGCCGTGAGCCTGACTCTTAAAGTGAAGCCATATGAAGAAGATATCAACACATCGATCTCACAAGGAATTTCTTCTATAAACAAACTTTTTTTAAATTAGCTAATTGGTCACATTGATACAAGCGACCTGGGATGGGAATCCTCTTTTAACAAGAGTGGCCTGTCAGGTTTTTGTTTCTCCACTGTGATTGGAGCTGGAGAACAAATGTGACACCGACATTTGATCTATGAGTGCACACTTGGCCGACTCGGACTGTTTTCTGGGTCACCCAGATCAGTCATAGCGGCGGGATGAGATATGATGATGGTAAAGAAGAAGTGGACCGCCTCAGGACTTGTGTGTTCCTAAGTCCTGAAGTGGAAAAACAGGCCATCGGATATATGTTTAAAGCTCCGGACAGGAATTATGATGAGGCTTGAAAAGTACGGGAATTTGATTAATGTATCTCCTGGGACTGGATAAGCAGAGAAAAAACAAAATGGAGAGGAGATGCAAATCTTTAAGTGTCTAGTGATTCAATTTCATTCTGATTTTTAGGGTTACGATTCAATTCAGAAATGGCTTATAATTCGGAAACCAATTTTTCTAATCTGTCTGGATATTCTGTTTAAAAAATGTGAGTGATAAGGGAGAAAGACAAAGTTAAATACTGTATCAAATTCCATCAGTTTATATTTACAAACCTAGGCATATGCATCAAATCCTGTAACTTAAATGACCAGTATTCGGTTAGCTTAGCTGCCTGGCTTTTTATTAAGCAAAAATAGTTATTCAAAATATCATTTGTACAAAAAACTAAGCAGACTCAATTTTTGAACTTTTTGAATTGATTCAGAATTCCCAGGACTAGAAATTGTGACTCTTTGTGGAATTGATTTTTTTCTGACCCTCTAAAATAGAGTATCAAGAAGTTTCATTACTTTTAATTTTTTCAGTCACCCATCAACCCATGAAGTTGGTGTTTTAATATTTTTTTTTTCCTGGTTCCATATTTACAACTGCACCACCAGGGAAGGTTTGTATTTAGATTTTAAATGCGTAAACATGGCTGACCACTCTGGATATTTAAGTCAGGCAAAGTATGGAATTCCTTAAACACTGGAGATTGTCCATTGGCTAATACTTGCATGTAAAACAGATCTTATCTACGTCTACAAAGGGAGAGCTGACTGACAGACCGGCCAGCAGGTCATGTCTGCATGTTTGCAGTTAACAATAGTCACCCCACTGTTGCCAACTCAGCAACTTTCTCGCTATTTTCAGCAAATTTTTTAAAGATCCATCCATGATTGGACAAAAAACTGCAATTGGTGCTCCCCTATGCTGTCACCTTCCTAGAATAATGATGTAGGTAAAATGTTTACTAAGTAAAAAGAAGGTTTACTAGGTAAAAAGTTTTGGTTTTCTTTTTGCCAAAATCACTTTTGGCAAAATATGACTGAAGGTGATGATATGGAATTCTGAGAAAATGTGTAAAATGTTTAATTTCTATTTATTCTTGGTTTTAATGTCTGTGTATTTGTTGCTATGATTTTAAAGTCTGAGGCAGAAACCTGGAAAATAACTGCTGTGTGTCTCTCCAGGTTGCTGCAGGAGGAACTTGAGGCAGATGTCTCCCTATATGCGGGTTCTGGTTCAGTCCGAGCTCACAGAGCCGTGCTGCTGGCCAGAGCTCCTCATCTCCTACAAGGACAGACGCATAAGGATCCCATCATCATCCATCTGCCAGGTTACGATCTGCCAGCACTGAAGGATTTTCTCAGGTAGACTTGAGTTCTCTTCTGTTTCCTGGTTTACTTCACAGAACAGCATCACTTAAAGCCTCAGATCTGCATTTCTTTTGGCACTAAACTTCCAGTGGGTGTCTTACAGAAGTTCATTTACATATATTATGAGCCTCAATAAATACCAAAAATACCTGCATAATTGTGCTATTAAAGAAAAGTTGAGTCGACTTCTCTGAAAGCAGCTTCATTTAATGTCTCGGTTGTAATGCTGCTATGAATGTGCTTTAACAATCTGCGAGTCGAGTCGTTTAGATGAATTCATAATACCGCTGAGAATTTTCTGTTTGTGACTCACACTTGAAAGGTTTCAGCTTTCTCGTTGAGAGGTTTGATCCTTCAGGGAGAAGCAGCAAATTAGTCAATATGTTTCTCAGGTTTCTCTGTTAACTATATATGCTCATCCTTAAAAAGCAGCTGCTGCTGGGAAAGCAAAGACAGATTCTTACAACAGACATGGGCTCCAACATCACATTAGGGCTGCTCATACTCACATGTGAACTGTTGATGTTGTTTGCACTGAATGGCAATGCAAACAGTGCAGACTGAGAATAGGGCCTTCTTCAGAATGAATATAAAAGTATAATTATTTCATTTAGGCAAGTGAGTTTCCTTCTGAAGTTTTAATCTGACCCAGATTCATTGAAATTGGTGGGTTTCATTGGAGAGAGGTGGCTAATGTGCACAGTCCATTTCATTTTATTAGAGTTGAGGTTTGAACAATTCCAGAAGCTTAATGTTGCTTTTCAAGAGTTATAAAATCTTTTTATGATCCTTGTCCTGCCGGAACAGCCAAGTTCTGAACTGCTTCAGTGTCAGTGGTTCCTGTGGACTGGACAAAATAGACTACATGTACATTCTTCAGTTTCACCTCAACTCTGCTTCTAGACGATTTAAACTTGAATGTAACAGGATGTTCCAACAGGATCCCAAACACATCTTGGAACTGGTTTTGGAAAGGTTAAAGCAGACTAAGGTTTGCATCACTCAGGTCAGCCACCTTACCTGAGTGAGGTGGCATTACTATACTCTATACTAGAGTATCGTAATGATCCATACTCTGAAGTATAGATCATTCTTCAGAGCAAAATGAACCGAACTCTACCATTAGCGATAAAAAGACTGGATAAATGTCCAATCAGAATCCTGCCTAAGGCTTATTGATGGCTTCTCTGCAACTCCCCGATGAACATTTCTCTAAATATTAGTGAGAATCTATGTAGAATTTTGACCTTATGTTCAAACCTTTTCACCCAGTTCTTGTTTTGAAGCATCACTAAAACTGGTGGTTGTAGACATGTTCCATCCTGAAATAAAACGTGGTTCACATGTATCTATGACGTTCATACTACTGATGGACATAAAAGCGTTTTACATGCTCTGTAATATCTCCCACATCAACCGACTTCCTTTAATGCAGAGAAGCTGCAGCTCATCTGCGATAACAGGAGGTGCAATACTTAGTTTTCTCCACCAGGGACAGTGATTCATTTCCAACCTCAACCCCTTTCTGCCTGAGCTATGTGCCTGCTTGTGCTAAAAGATGACTGTATCTTTTGTTGTTACATAGTTAAATGCATTTTAGGAAAACAGATGTTAACAAATTAGAGAAATGAGTACAACACTGCCTCTCAGTTCCCATGTTGGTCAAGGTAGTATACCAGGCAAAATATAGAATATACATTGTTTTTGAGAAGGTTCATGTCACTGATTAAGATAAACGTCTCTGCCCACAGGGTGAAAATACTACTCAGTCCTGTGGCGACAGATGTCATTTTGTGTCAGATGATACTGTAGCTTGGAAATGCACAAAAGGTTCCGTTTTAATTAACTTTCAGAGTCTTGCCCACAGGCAAGTGTACACAGCAGAGCAGAGCATGCGAACGGCTGAAGCAAACTGCGACACAGAGAGCAGCGCTGCAAACCAAGCAGATCCTCACAGTTCCACTGACTCAGGTAAACAGATCAACACGTGGAGGGTTTATTCTGGATCATGTGACCACTAAGCTGCCCACCTCTATCCACTTTCCTCACATTATGTTTTCTTAGTCATAATCTACTTAAGAGCTAATCCCTTTTGGGCCTTTGTTGCTGTTCCTGCTAATTACAAGAAGTTCCTGCAGATTTAGACCCTGCCTTGTCTTTATTCTCTTAGTTTACGTTGTTTTATCAGTCACATAATGTATCCAGAGCAGATTAAAGTTCACGTAAGATGTTTTGGTGCTTCCTTATTATCAATCTCTGCTTCTGTCCAGGTGCGTTTGTTCTTGAGCCAGCCTCAGGCCTCAGTACTGACTTGCTGGATCTGTACAAAAGGGGAGAACAGTGTGACATCACCATCCAGGTGGCTGAGCAGGTCTTCTCCTGCCACAGGTAGAGCTACTTTAGTTGCTATCCACTAGACTACAGTTTCTTTGAAAAGTGTTCATACACCCTGAATTTTTTCTAACGATGGGAAATCTTATGGCTTTGCTGAGTAAAGGAGCTATTTTAGATCCCAAATTGTTTCTTAAAGGTTGTGCTGAAATGAATTTATCACTAAATAAGTAATATTAAATTCTGTTTTGAACTCGGTTACTAATTTACAAAATATACAGAACTTGAAGCCTTTAATATTCATATAGTTTGATGGTATTCTCAGAAGACAAACCTCCACTATTAGAACTAGTGAATAGTTGAATAGAAGTGAGAAGGGAATCTAGAACATTTCTGAAGAAATTTAAAAGCAACCTTTCTCATTTAGCATATTCAGATTCAAATGAGGGGTTCTGATGCTGACTTCGGTTCTGTGGGCCTCAAGTTTGAGCATCAAAGCTTAAACAGCTTAAAACAAAAGAGTCTGTCTTTGTTGCATGTCATAAAAATGTCCAGAGTTAGCTAAAATGCGACCTCCAGTAATATACTCCATCTAGTGTGTAAACAGCAGTGTAAAAGCTAAAAGTAGCAAAAATGCTAAGGTTAGTTCTATTTATGTCAGAAGCATACGGGCAATTAGCCTTGTTGACTAACATTTAACCTTTGTTTCCAGCTGTAAGTCTAATTGGGTGTTACTCTACCAGCATTGTGCATCTAGACATGGAATAATTTCAATACTTTATACTGCAGTATAACTCAAGCTGAGTAGCTGTTATTCTCATATATTTTAAATTTTTGCCTCAGATTTTTAATTGGATTCAAGTTCAGACTTTGATTGGGCCATTTTAACACATGGACATGTTTTAATTTAGATTCCAACCACATACAAAAAGTTGTATTCTACATTGCCTAGCAGGTGAGGCTATTCATGATTGAGTGTAAGAGGTATATCCACAGTTATATCGTGGATTTTCTCTTTAAAAGTGCATAGTATCAATAAGTGAATAGAAATTTCACAATATAAATCCTTTATCCAGTAGGTGATGCTGTATTAAGAGCTACTGTACACCTTCACATTATGGTGTCATGTTGAAGCCTTATGTTATGTTGACTGTGTCCTTTCTACATTATGTAACATACAGCAGCAGAGGTGCAGCATGTGCTGCCCCACTCAACAGTGGGTGGTCATTCAGTGATTCAAAGGTAGAAGTTGCAACTAGTAACCATGGAGACAGTTTTCTCTTGACTCCTGTGATCGTCACAGAGAAGCTGGGCCACGCTCTGGTTGCTCTGCAGCTGTGATTGCCATGGCAGCAGAGCTAAAGTTCTCTCTGTCCCTTGACTAAACTTCATTCAATAGATATTTCAGTCCTTTACTAAAGCCGTATGAGGATGATACGATGGTGTAGGTAATTGGGAGTACATATGCAAAAAGTTTCAAACACCATCTTTAATAAAGCATGTAAGTAAAATGAATTATTGAACAGAAATATATCATTCTAAGCATATGGCATGTGCATTAAAAGAAAAAATTCTGCTTCACTGGTTTTCTAGGGCGATCCTGTGTGCACGTTCTCAGTACTTCCGTGCTATGCTCAGTGGGAGTTGGATGGAGAGCTCCAGACAATGCATCACTCTGCATGGGTAAGACTTCTCCTCACCTCAGATCTCAACGTTTTACCTTGCAAACCCCAATTTCTTATAGGATGCTACGAAGGTATTTGATGGTATTTGGATTTCTACCAACAACGGTTCTTGTTGTCTAAATGTCTAGCCTTCCGAAGATGCTGAGGAGCCACTGTTAAAACCCACACCATCTCAGCCTCCACACTTTGTTTCTTTCTTTTTTTTTTTCTCCTCCATGACGTAAAGTGTCATTTGTCCATGCATCGCTGATCTGAGGGTAACGGAGGAAGACACGGCTGTCAGATTGGAGAGCGATTGTGTTGATTCGCTGGGGGAGCCTTTTCCTTCACCCTCAGGCTGCGGTCTTGTGCATTAAGTGCTGGATAATGTATGATTGTATTTGCAGGAGTCAGGTCGATGTTTAAGCAGCTCTTAGCAGAACTGTTTTTGTGATGTAAATGCAAGTTTGTCCACATATAACCACAAAATGTTCTTTGTAGTATTCAGCGTCAAAAACAAACACACCTGTTCTTGGAAACTATATTTTAAAAAGTTCAACAACTTGTTTGCAGAAGTGTACAAACTTTAACAAAGTCAAAAGCAAAATTATTGATGACTACCTGACTATCTTTATTTTGAAATGGTGTACAAAATAATGAGTTGAACTCTTTGTTTCCTTCTCCTGACCAACTGTGACATTAAAATCCAATTGAGACATCTGAACTGAGGTTCTCTCCACAATTTTAAAAAGTCTTAAATTTATGCATCTAAAATCCAGGCCTGAAAATTGAACAAAGATTTTTGCAGTTTTGTTTTACTGTTTATTGATGTCAACCTTTTCAGCTTGGGACCAGATGAGATGGAAATCTTGCTCCAGTTTATGTACGGAGCTGTCATGGATTTGCCCAGCGGAGCCAACGCCAGGTATAGTGTGTCTGAGTATGGGGTTCAGTAATCACTGCACACGATGAGAAAACAGGCTAACCTGAATGTGATCTCTCTACCACACAGTCAGGTTACCATAGCTGCAGACATGTTGGGTCTGGAGGGGCTCAAAGACCTGGTGGAGATGATTTTTACCCGCGACTACTGCCGCTTCTTCCCCAAGGTTAGAGAAGCATCTGTGTTACTGAAGGCAGTCTGCTAACATTAAGGGGTTTTGTCTTTAATTTTGAATAAAACTTAGAAATTCTGAGTTATTTAATTTACAAACACCAAATTACTAAACTGTTGTCAACTCTGATTGACCCACCTATTTTTATCTGTTCCATTTCTTTTCTGTCAACCATCTTGATCAGGAGATGATGTAAAAGTCCATAAAACCAGTCAAATACATTATATTGTTGGCAGGATGAGTTGGGATGGATAGCACATTAAATATAATAGGCTGTGAAATCTTGCATACCAGCAGCCCTGCATTAATTTTGCTGTAAAGATTGTAAGTTAATTTATACTGCGGCTCAGTTATATTTTAGTGCTTTACTTACTAAATATGTTGGTTTGGGGGAGAACATGTTACACATCCACTTCTAGTTTTCTTCTGGTTTTTTGGGTTTTTAAATCTTTTTTTAAACAAACTTTAGGATTCAGATTTAGGTGAACTTAACTGAAACACTTCACACTTACATTTTCACAGATCAACTTGTTTCTCTTCATAAACAAGCATGATATTTACTTGCAAAGGATTTCTTTGTCAAATATTGGCACTAAAGCATCTGTTTCTTAAATGGAAGGTGTTTTTTTTTGTGTTTTTTTTTCCATTTCCAGCAGCCAGTTGACGGGGTTCAGAAAACGGTTCTAGAGTGTTTGTCGCTCACACACGCCTTAGGGCTCCAAAACCTCCACATGCTCTGTAGGAGGTAAGTTTGCATTCAGCACCAAGTAGCAGCTGTTAATGAGAAAAATAATACTATCACATTCTGAATGCTATATAATGATACAAAATAGAATATAATTCACATTGAATACTAATATTCCTACATGGTTGTATGTTATATGGAAACATTTTGAAAAATTACAGTTATTTATGACTGGCCATAGTTGGAATCATTCTTGCCACTCCTGGTTACAGCTGATTGACTTCTTTTAGACCTTTTTCGTCTCTATCTTGTTGCTAGGTAACCAGGCTTCAGTTTATGCTTCTCTTTAAGCGACCAAGAGAGGAGGACAAGGTTCCGGGGCAATTTGCTTTAATGAGAAACACAGCTTGTCTACAAGCCTAAATTTGAATGTTTTTATTTTATTCTAATCTGGCATTAATATTTTTAACAGTCATATAATTCAATTTACATAAATACTTTTACGTTTTAGAATGTTTCTAGGCTAATTTACTTCTTATCTTTTTCATTGTGAGAATCCACCTCTTTACAGCGCTTTCTTTAAATCTTTACACTCAAACTTTTCTTTTTCTCTCTTCCACACTATAACCACAAACATCCCAGCATATTACTGGTTTATGTGATAAACTCAAAATAATGCGTAGTTATAAAGTAAAATATGTAATCAGAAATTAAACCACATGCACACTGTGTAGATCCTATGGCTTCAGGAAATGCATTTTCATTGCATCCACTCTGCGTTTTCAGGTGGGTAGCGGAACATTTTGTGAAAGCCTGGTGTGAGAGGAACTTCTCCCTCCTGTCCCCGGAGCTGCAGCGCGCCTGCATTACGGCCGTAACGGACACAATGGTGAGTGGACTCCTCCCACAGTCATCTGCTCTGCTCCTTTTAAGCCCAAATATCACCAAACAGAGCACTTGTCTATTTCAACAGGAAGGAAAAAGCATGACGATCTGATTAGAGATGAGCTTTATTCAATTCTCTGTTATTAACATCGGCCTAATTCAGGACTTGGATGAAGATTGATCTGTGGCTTGTAATTGGTGGCTGAGTCTTTAGTCTGTGAATCAAGACTGACCCGCTGTGGTTTGAACTTGGTACATGGTGACATTACAGCACTATGAGGGGATTCCCTCCTCTGATCACCAGGGGGTTGGGCAGGAGTAAATACATTTTTATATATATATTTTTTTTATCTGATGCTGTTTGGTTCACCTCTTTTGTTTGTTGTTCTTAGAGAGTTTTTCCTTTAGCTGATAGATGTTTTCCCTCAGACTGTACGGAACGCCGTCACGCTGCTCTGTGGCACGGAGCAGCTGATTGGCAGCCTCCCAGAGGTGAAGTGGGCCCAGCATGTGAGGGCCATGGCCGTGGAGCTCCAGGAAGAGAGCCTGCACTTCATAGTCCAGCACCTGCCCAGGGTGATCCACACTCAGGCCTTCCACGACCTCCGCAGGGTAATAACGGCTCCACACCTTTTAAGCCAGGACGGCTCATCGTGCGGCCCGGGGAACATTTGTGCTGCCAACTGCAGTTCAAGAATGATTCATATTTGTTTTTTTAAGCTACTTATTTTTAATCAGGGTAAAATTATTTTCTCACAGTTTAAAATCTCAAGTACGGCACAAAAATATAAATCTTTTTACAGCCGTGCTTTTATAATAAATAGAACCACATTTTATCCAGAGGCTTTTCCTGAAAAGCCGACTTTGCTGCACTCAAATCCACTTGTATTTAATTTATTCAACTCAGCCAGTCAGCGGCAGGAAGCAGATGTAAACAACAGCTTCAGCTTCCTGTAACCTGCTTGAATCAGGTTCTTACAGTGTGGAATGAAATCTGTTCAACCAAAATGCCAAACAATCACCAGTTTGACCTTTAAAATTCACACCACAGGCTGGAGATATTACTAACCAGCCTACACAACACATTTTATCTTGAATTGTTTTACCTTTTGGATGATTGTGTTGCTCCTTCTCAGAGCTGCAGTAAACATTAAGTTCCCAACTAACAACAGACATGTCTGCCGGGCCTTTTTTTTTTTTTTTACATGTTGGGTTGATCTGTGCTGTTTAAATTCAAAGTTTTACATTTTGGAAAAATGTTTTAGAACTTCCTCATGATGCCATTTCTTCACCAGAAACCTAAAATTAGTGGTTTTAATGTGACAAAATGTGAAAAATCTTAAGAAATGTGAAGACTTTTACACTGCATCTGTTTTGTTCTTGGTGTGTCACTGACTTGCAGAGGGAGGAGTTTACCAGAGAGCCGACGCTGCTGAAGAAGCTGTGCTTGGCGGTGAGGGAGGGCGTAGCTGTGGACAACTGCTGCGATCTGTTCACTGCTGTCCACTCTCTGTGTGAAGATAACTTTGATGGAAATTTTCACCTGGAACATCAGAAACAAGAGGAGGTAAACTAAGCCTTATTCTTAGTTGGATTGTTGTTGATTGAACATATGTTCACGATATGAACACGACCTTATTAAATTTGAAGGTTTTACTTTATTAGTTTGTAGAATTATATAAATACAAATCCAGAATAGACAATAAATGATAAATTATATGGTTACTTACATAATTCAGTAGATTTCACAACAGTTTTTCGTAGCATGAATGTTTTTGATCCTGCAGTGATTTTATTTGAAAGTCAGTCAAAGTTGTCCAAAGTGTGGCATTTTCAGTCACTGGACAGATTTTTCTTTGTCTTTTTCTTTTTTTTTTTTGACTCCTAATTTAAGACTAGTATAAATTTGTCTCAGTCCTGAGGGAAATTAGTATGGCAGTAAAAGACAACTAAATTGATTTATTAAAATTGGCAAAATATAGCATTTTTAAAAAGTGACCCAAATCCTGTTCTTGTTGCTGTGAATAGACACATTTTGGGCACTGCATGCTTTTCTTTTGATACGCAAGCCAACAAATGTATGTTTATGTTTTGGATCTACAATGATTTTCAGATCCCTCTTCCACAATATATTACTTCTTTATTTATGTCATTATAATGTCGTATGTTTAGTTTAATGGGTAGGACGTAAAATATTTTTTTGTTTGTCATTAAAAAAAAAGCATTTCTATTGCCAGTGGGTACTCGCATAAGATCACATCTAATCTACAAAGGGTCTGGTAATCAGACCTTTGCTTATTAATTATAGAAAATCAAACTCTCAAACAGCATCATTTAGTTGTCTTTTACTGCCATACCAATCAATTGCAGGCCCAGAGACTGTTTGACAAAGTCTTCCAGCAGAACGGATGATACCCGATTTTATTCTTTGGTCTCCAGAATTCAGTGACAGCATGCAGGCTCAGATTGAGATTCAGGTGCTCCGTTTTCCATTAACCAGCAAGAGAAACTGTCTGCAAAGCAACATAAAGACAAGAGCTAAGCTTGTGAGGTGGCTCCCACGACAAAGTGACTTGGCTGCAGGAGTTAAAGCTGCGTACAGTAGAGCAGGATGGATTAGGCTGAGGGACGCTGTGACGTACGCCGGTGCCTCACTAATCTAGCTGTGTGTGTCTAATGTCGAAGGCAGTGTGTTGTTTGTAAGATTTGTGACAGCAGAGAGCAGCGTTGGCTCCCGTTTGTCCTCCAGTGTGAAAACAGGAATATGAACATCGACTCATGAGGTCCCAGATTCCGTTTAGGAGAGCTCAGCCACAGAGGCAGAGGGCAAGGGAGGGGCAGAGAGAGAGAGAAAGAAGAGGGAGGAGGCGAGGGTATTTGTTGCCATGGTGAAACATTCTTGAAGCAGCTGCTGATTCGCCCGCGCTGCAGCGCACCCCTTCCATTCTTCTGCCTGTCTCCTCTGTGTCACCGCCAGCCGTTCAGGCAGGAGATCGGCACGCTACGTGGGCGCCTCTGGACCTTCCTGCTTCAGACCTCTTATGCGGCTCGCCACACGCCAGGATGGGAGGCACTCTCACCCAAACACAAAGAGAGGATATTAGCAGGTAAAGGCTGGAATTCTGTCTCAAAGCCTCGCTCTGTGTATGGAAGGAACGTGAATGCTTTTCATTTGTTGTCTTCTACTAAAGCCGGTGGCTCTGCTTACATAAAAATCCTCCAAAGTCCTCTCTGCTCCAGCTTCTTATATTACAGCAGCGTGCTGGCTGCTAACCCATTTATTATCCAGCCAGAGCTTTTATGAGACATAGTGGCAGTGTGTGTGCAGCTTGCTGGCTTATGAATGCACATCAACATGGTAAATGGACCAGATGCGCCATGCTTGTTTTTAACAGGATGAAGCTTAGCCTGCTGCTGTTGTGGCTCTGCATACATTTAAAAGCTTTCACAAATGCAATTACCAACCCGCTTCATTCATGTTGATCTAATAATATTTTGAAATGGGATGCATGAATAATTGATATGACTGGTATCGGTGTATGGCCCAGTGTTCCTACAGTTCTTAGCAGTGTGTTTAGATTCTAAGGATTCAGGATTTAGAACCTTTATGTTTAACAAATAAAGGTTGTTCTCTTACATTGTAAGAGAATGTACGAGATGTAAATGAAAGATCATTAACTATATTTGTTTTTTATGTAAAATCAGTGAATATGTGAGTGAAATAATGTATTGTTGTTATATTGTGTTAATGTTATATTTTTGGTAAAACTCATCTGTTACTTTTTTCTCCACCTTCTGACAGACGCTATTGATAAAGGAGACAATCGAAGACTCGGTAAAAAGCCAGTGTTCACTAGCTCACAGGTAATGATCAGTGTTTGGATCAGACACAAGTAACATTTCATTTTGCTTTTTACATAAATTGAAAATTTCTTTATAATGAAAATAAAACAAGCTTCTTCTTTTTTTCAACTGCCCAAACTTATCACTACAGTGAAGCTCTTCAGGTTGAGGGGCACAAGTATCTATGGAAATGAAACCTAGTTAATTAGTTATTTAACTGGGCAAAACAGCTAATTGCTCACCAACTTTTTTTCTTGTTTTTGCACACTTCAACATGTAGAGGCATGTCTCAACCCCTGATAGTTAGTTTTATAGGTCCTTTCATATAATAACAGCTGTTTCAACAACAGAAAAATCTAGGATTTTATGCTTTTACTATATAACTATATAGAAGCCTTAAAGGGGCAGCGTTATGTAAAAATCAACAGTTTTGAGCTTTACATCATGTTATACTGTTATTCCTTTATCGAAAACATTCCTGGAGTGTTGCTTTGATTCTTTCATTCATGTTTGAGGAATCCTTTAATCTCCACGGTAACCATTTAGCTGTGCAAAACACCTGGTTGGACCTCAGCCCCACCTTCAAGGCACAGTTCCTCCTTAGAGCTGCAGTTTAGAAACTTTTGAGCTTCCGCCTCACAGAGCAGCACTCCTCTGTGGCTCCTCCACTCAGCTCCTTCAGACTAGCCAGCAGCAATTAGCAACACCTGGCGGAACTGTTCATGTGCTGATCTCATTGTAGGAGCTACTTGTCAGTGAAACGCTGGTAAAAACATTATTAAAGGGTTAATAGAGGAGCCATTTTGTGATGATTTCCTGAAGACAGAATTTCAGAAAGAGAAAGAGACTATGGCAAGACGTTGTCATAGTTGATCTATGAACAGATCAGGAAAATGTAATATTGTCTGATTGCAGCTATCAGTTGTTTTCTTGGTGCATCTCTAATTTTGTCATTGCAAGAATTCTGCCAAAGTTAATTATGCAAACCTAAAGGGCAAGTTTAGCTCACGGCAATCCATGGGAGTGGCTATTCTTTAGTCACAGTGTGTCATATGCCCCCATTGTAAAAGCTAGAAATAGAAAGTGAACAGATTTATGGGATGTAACTGATGTGTTATCTAAACGCTAAGACATCATAAATTAGTGGCTAAAAGCACTGCATGTCCCTCAGGTCATGTAGAAAGTCAAGTTCTGTGTGCCAAAATAGAAATCTGCCTTTTGAAAGACTCAGAGTAGATCTGAGAATAGACATCAATGTAACACGGTGGTCTAATTTTACCCACTATCCCTTTACTGCTGATTTTTTTATGTATTTTTTTATTCCCTGCTGATTGACCTAGTGCAGTAATACAGTTACATGACTCTTACTTATTTTTATCCTGCAGTCAAAGGCTGTAAAATGCCCCACATCTCAATCTGAGAGCTCTCCGGTTCACAGGACAAACCGGGCGCCGCAAAACAGAAACCCAGACGTCCGCAGCGCCGCGTCAGCCATGAAATCCGATGGTCTGAGCACAGCAAGCAAGCCGGGAGAAAGCCAAAACTCTAAAGCGAAGAACGCAAAGAAACAAGACAGGAGCGTGGCGACAAAGGCAAAGACAGCGCCGGCCGGCGCAGTGGTTGTCAACGGCACAGCAGCCGCCGGGGCAAAGCGGGAAGTGTCCGAGGCAAATGGCTCGAGAAGCTCCCACAGGCCAAAAGAGCAAGAAAAGAAGCCGAACCCAGGCGCAAGGCCTAAAACCTCCCCCCCCAGCTGCACATCCACAACCCAGGCAACTGTAGCTAAGGTCCAGAAAGGTTCGGCGGGAAAGGCTGACAAGTCTGCTGGCGCCGTCACTACCCAAGCACATCCTGGTGCTTCATCCACATCAGCCACTACCTCGCCAGAAAACTGTGCCAGCAGTCTGCATGACAGCCACTCCATTCCAGGTTTACACTCTTTTATTGACTTCTTTACGTTTCATCGGCATCACCAAGATTCATTGTCCTCTAGCGGCAGAACAGCAGCTGAAGCTGAATGGTTGTTGAGTCGCCTCCAGAGATAAAACTGTAGCCAGAATTAGAAAGGAACATCGGTTTAATTAGTGTAATCAATACTGTGCTGTCCCAGGGAGGGAGCTTCGGAAGAAGGGGCTTATTTCATGTCTGAACACTGATTTGTCTGGAAACAAAGCAACATACAGCTCTCTTTGTCAGTCTGCTGGTGGCAGCAGAGGTTGCAGCCTTCCACAGCTGTCACACAGGGGGAGGGGGGGAGGGTCAGACCACTGAGCTCTTTAATGAGGGAGCTGGAGCTGGACGACCAACTGTCCTGTCCAGTCCTGCTGGTACAAATATACAATCACCACTATGGAAGGCTGTTCATTCAGCTGTTTGACTCTGTCTCCAAAATGTTTGATCTAACAGCTGACCAATCTGCAGGACAGAGTGTTTGGGCCAAGCTGAGAAAATAAACAAAAGTGAAATTACGAGAATAAAGTTATAATATTACGGCTTTAGTCAGGCAAAATCATGACTTTATTCTCAAAGTATTATGTCTTTATTCTCATATTATTTGGACTTTCTTCTTAAGTGACTTTATTTCTGTATTATTTCGACTTTATTCTTATTATATAAAGTTCTACCAGACGTAATACCAGATGTTAATCTGGTATTACTATGACTTTATCCTCAGAATAATGCAACTTTATTCTTCTTGTTTCCTCTTCAGAGATGTTAATACTATGACTTTATTCTTGTAATTGTATGACTATGTAATTTTATTTTATTATTTTTATTTTTTATTTTTTTGGTATGGCCCTAATACTCCGTTGTAACTCTGGCTTAGTTGACACATATTTAATAAGACCACAGAACCAAATTACTGTTATAATTCTTCATTGCACATCCGTACAAAAGAGATAGATGTACAAAAATAGTTTTGTTTTCTTGAGTTCACACAATCCCAGAACACCTCATTCTCATAACATGTTAATGATAATTCCTGTTTCTTTAATGAGGTCGTTTGATGCACAGTGCATTCCTAACAGCTGTTCATGTGTTTCATGTCCTGCTTTCTAGGTACAAAATCCAAGCCACAGGCCAAAGCAGTGAACAAGTCGCCTCTGACCAAACAGCCTCAGAGGTCCGACACAGCAAGAACCAGCAGGTGAGAGTTACTGGCTTCAGCTTCCTTTCATTTCAAAGCTGGAAACAAAATAAATTCATTCCCCCGTCTTCTATGGTTTGAGTGGTTTGATAAACTATAGAGATGAGTAATCATAACAGTTCTCAAATCTAGAGAATTGTTATTACACTCTATATTTATTGACTGCGATTCAAATCCCTTTTCGAACCTCTTATGGGGCATTATGACCACTGATTGAAACAAATTAGAGGCTTCTTTGTCAGTCAGGAAATTAGATTTCACTGTTTTCAACTATAGATAAGTTTGTTTCTTTTTGTCTTTCTCTCTCTCTCTTTCTTTCTGTTACGCTTTCTTTTTTCTGCTGGCAGCTGCAGCAATAGTTGCTATTTTAAAATGACCATTAAAAGGCCTCAGAACTCTGAAAGGTAAAGTCTGGAAAGGCTGGAGTTTTATATGAAACATTAGTAGGATTTCTGAAAGGAAACAGATAACCTCCTCCTGCCAGAATATTATTGTTATTGAAGTATAGTTTCTTATTGTGGCCTACAAGCAGAAAAAAATAGTTCAAGGCAGGTAGGAACCAGCTCATGATCTGTACAAGACATGTTTTGGCAAAAGGAAATATTAGGTATGAACAGACCAAAACTTGACAAGTACAAAATGACAATGGTGCAGAGTGACACAACCTAAATCAGTGTCGAGAGTTTTTGTGCGTCTTTTCGAGTGTGTGTATGTTTGGATCAGGTTGTGCTCGGGAGGATAAAAACAGCTGTGCAGTGTGCTGTGACAAGCCTCTTGTTTCCTCTTCAGAGATGTTAAAAATATCAGTTTCAAATTTAGCATCACTGGGCAGTCATTCAGAAAGCTGTGGTGACTAAAAACATGGCTTTTTCTTACATGCTAAAAGGAAACATCCTGCTCTAGACTATGCAAAGTTTACAGTAAAGTGCACCATCTTTCAGGCTGGTCCTCAGGTTGATACATGTCGGATACAAAAATATATTTTACTAGCCGTCGTTTTATTGATGATTAAATGGGCTGGAACGGAAAACGTTTGAATTGCTTTGAACCAAACTTCCGCATTTCTAACTTGAAGTAACTGTCTGCCTTTTATCTGATTCTGTTATATTGCCGTGGAGGGATTTTGGCCTTTGTCTTTAAAAAAAAAAAACTGTCTTTAGATCTGTAAGGTTTGTAGATCTCGCCTTTGACTTCTAAGTAATCTACACTGTTGAATGATGGACTCCAAATAGTTTGGAGTACTCAGCTCTTTAGATTGCTAAAAAGTTGCATTTGAACATATT